CATCAAGGTGTATGCCGTGCCTCCAAGCTTTCTTACTCGTTTTGCTAATAAACGTTCTACGTTTCTTATTTATTTGGTTATATATTATACATGTTTACTTGGGCTATTTCCAATTTTGTATACCTATTTAAACTTTATGTAAGTTATTTGTTATTTTATATTAGGCATAGCCTGCCCTATAGCATGGTGTATTTGTATTTGTTTTGTTAATAAAAGTTCTATGTTTTATACAGTGTATATAGGATAAGTGAGTTTGACGTTGTATTTTGTTGTTGCATTCAAGCAATTGACTCTGACCTGCCGCTAATTCAAAAGTAAAAGTAAAATGTGCATGGTGCTTTTAAGCTATTTAAAAGCGAGAAAGCGAGGAAAGAGGGAAAATTCAAACAAACTAAAAACTAACAATTGCTTTACGCCGAATTGCCGCTATTTCAAGGTGAAAGTAAAATGTGCACGCTGCTTTTACAAGCCATTTAAAACCGAAGAAAAGCTAGGAAAATTTCCTCACCGTCACAACCCTAGTGTGCACTCAAAGTTGATTTGTTCTTCAGAGTCTAATGCATTAAGTCAAGTCAATTTTACTTATATAGTGCTTTTCACAATGCACACCATTTCAAAGCAGCTTTACAGAAATTTTTAAAATAGATTAAATAATATTTGTTAAAGCTACAAAAATAGATTTGAATAGTAAACAAGATATTAAAACAAGTCAATTATTTAAAAGAAATCTCAAGAGCCTAAATACTGCTTTTATGCGATTTTGTTGAAAAAAATCAAGGTTTTAAAGAAAACAATACATAAACAACAGTGGAACATGGCTATAAATATGAACTATACCTGTACAGTGTTTCCCCTAGGTTTACGGCTTTGGGGCGTGGTCCGTTTTTTTTTTTCTGGACTCCTTTTTACTGGTTAAGTTACATGTTATTAATAAAAAAGCATGTCTAATTAATTAAAATAATGAAACTTAAACAATTTAACATCAATTTATTAAAAGTTTAACAAATATTACATGTTTAGGGCCCTATGAAATGTTTTATTTTTCCAACCTTATGTTTTATTGTTTTAGCATGTCTAATTATTTGAACGCATAAAACAAGTTTCATTTATTCTTACAATAGCCTTATGATTTTTTTGCTCAAATTCTGTGTTGTGTATTTACATTTTGTTTTAAGGCATAACACACATTCATTTAATCTATCTTTTAAGTAATGAAAATTAAACAAATTTGTTTTTGGAAAATAAAGGTAATTTAATATTACAATTAAAACATTGAAGAAATATTGAATGCTTATTCCTTAAAAATAAGGTTTTAATAATTTTAGTCGTAGCAGTCGGTTACGTACATTCTACTGAACAATAGTAATATATTTCTGCCAATGCCCTCAAGTTAAACCAAACTTTTATTTTGACGGGTTGCCGTGAATACCTTTACATTTGTGTGTGTGTATGACATGATGATAGTTTTACTCGTTTTAGATGAAACGGTCATATGCTCATGAAGTGACTCTCAGAGCAGTTCTGGAGATATTGTTCATGTATTTATGTCCTCATTAGTGAGACGGCAGACATTAATATCACCGGAAGCGTCACAAGCGTTTCGTACGAGTACTACACAAAACCGCTATAGAGAAAATATAATTCAATAAAATTAACTTGACCTACAAGGGGGACGGGGGGTGCCGTTAATATAATATGCTAAAATAATGGCAGGGGAAACACTGCTGTAGTTACTCTGCTAGGACACCTGTGTCCTTGACTTTCATAGATTGACTAAAAATCACCTCGGGAGCAAGATGGACCATAATAGAATGGAAAGATGCTTTTTAAAAAAAGTTTTAAACATTTTTTTTTTAAAAGAACCATTTTGCAAAACAAAACAAACAAACAAAAACAGCACAATGGAATGGCCAAAGGCATCCATGCATGTAACAACAATTAAATAATAACCCATTTTTACCGTGATGGCATTAATTTATGTACAAGTCCACACTTATTTGAAACGGAGTGCCTAAAAATTTGCCACATTTGCACACATTAATTTTCACTTGCCTGCTTGCACTGTATAGGCCAAATTTTCCCTCCTGTCACCCACACACACAATCATTAAATTAACTTCTGTAACATTCTTCCAATGGAAACTGTTACATATACTACTGGCTTCAGTTGGTGAGTACCCTTCCCACTGATCTGACACCAGTTATTTATGCTTTTCATGCAACATAAGCCGTTTAAGAACAATATCATGACTTTGTATCAGAGGAATAATTGAAGTTCCACCAGAATAGTTATTTTAATGTGTTTGGTTGACTTCTGACACTGCATAAACAAAGGAATTAAAACTGAATTATCTAATACCGCTCCCCTCCAGCTTATTATCTCCTTAGTAATGGATGTCTGAGATGTGTGTACCAGAATCACTGGTTTGTATCGGTCGAAAATGAGTGACTTAATTTGTTCAGCTCTGTCAGTTTACATTAGAAAGGAGACTCTTGACTAAGGATAGACAGACAGACAGAAAGACACATAGATTTTTTTTTTATACAAGAGAAACATTTTACAAAAATTAAATTATGATTTCTAGCAAATAAAAAAATTCATTGCTAAACATTTTTTTTAAAAATAAATAAATAAATATTATTTTGTGGTGGGGCCAGCAGAAATGTTGGCAGTGCAAGTAAAATTAGAATTACTGGACCAACTAGGCCAAGAGAAAGAGGAGAGGAGAGGGGAGGAGAGGAGAGGAGAGGAGGAGTAGAAGAGAGGAGAGCTCTCTCTTTCCACTCCTGTCCTCCCACACACGTGCTATTCACAGACTCCTCACAGCGAGCTCAGAGGGCATTGCACTTGCAGGGATTAATTCACATACAATGTTTCAGCTGTCAGATACATTCCTGCTTTTCGTCTTCCAGCTAAGCGTTTAATGCCATAACAACAGAAGAGGGAACATCTGGCAAGACAAACGAGACAATGCGGGGCTGCAAGGAAAAAGAATACAACATAAGCCGAAATTAATTTCCCCAATCACAGCTGACGCATTCCCATCTTAATGAATTGAACAGTGATAATATATTTCTGCCAATGCCCTCAAGTTAAACCAAACTTTTATTTTGACGGGTTGCCGTGAATACCTTTACATTTGTGTGTGTGTATGACATGATGATAGTTTTACTCGTTTTAGATGAAACGGTCATATGCTCATGAAGTGACTCTCAGAGCAGTTCTGGAGATATTGTTCATGTATTTATGTCCTCATTAGTGAGACGGCAGACATTAATATCACCGGAAGCGTCACAAGCGTTTCGTACGAGTACTACACAAAACCGCTATAGAGAAAATATAATTCAATAAAATTAACTTGACCTACAAGGGGGACGGGGGGTGCCGTTAATATAATATGCTAAAATAATGGCAGGGGAAACACTGCTGTAGTTACTCTGCTAGGACACCTGTGTCCTTGACTTTCATAGATTGACTAAAAATCACCTCGGGAGCAAGATGGACCATAATAGAATGGAAAGATGCTTTTTAAAAAAAGTTTTAAACTTTTTTTTTTTAAAAGAACCATTTTGCAAAACAAAACAAACAAACAAAAACAGCACAATGGAATGGCCAAAGGCATCCATGCATGTAACAACAATTAAATAATAACCCATTTTTACCGTGATGGCATTAATTTATGTACAAGTCCACACTTATTTGAAACGGAGTGCCTAAAAATTTGCCACATTTGCACACATTAATTTTCACTTGCCTGCTTGCACTGTATAGGCCAAATTTTCCCTCCTGTCACCCACACACACAATCATTAAATTAACTTCTGTAACATTCTTCCAATGGAAACTGTTACATATACTACTGGCTTCAGTTGGTGAGTACCCTTCCCACTGATCTGACACCAGTTATTTATGCTTTTCATGCAACATAAGCCGTTTAAGAACAATATCATGACTTTGTATCAGAGGAATAATTGAAGTTCCACCAGAATAGTTATTTTAATGTGTTTGGTTGACTTCTGACACTGCATAAACAAAGGAATTAAAACTGAATTATCTAATACCGCTCCCCTCCAGCTTATTATCTCCTTAGTAATGGATGTCTGAGATGTGTGTACCAGAATCACTGGTTTGTATCGGTCGAAAATGAGTGACTTAATTTGTTCAGCTCTGTCAGTTTACATTAGAAAGGAGACTCTTGACTAAGGATAGACAGACAGACAGAAAGACACATAGATTTTTTTTTTATACAAGAGAAACATTTTACAAAAATTAAATTATGATTTCTAGCAAATAAAAAAATTCATTGCTAAACATTTTTTTTAAAAATAAATAAATAAATATTATTTTGTGGTGGGGCCAGCAGAAATGTTGGCAGTGCAAGTAAAATTAGAATTACTGGACCAACTAGGCCAAGAGAAAGAGGAGAGGAGAGGGGAGGAGAGGAGAGGAGGAGTAGAAGAGAGGAGAGCTCTCTCTTTCCACTCCTGTCCTCCCACACACGTGCTATTCACAGACTCCTCACAGCGAGCTCAGAGGGCATTGCACTTGCAGGGATTAATTCACATACAATGTTTCAGCTGTCAGATACATTCCTGCTTTTCGTCTTCCAGCTAAGCGTTTAATGCCATAACAACAGAAGAGGGAACATCTGGCAAGACAAACGAGACAATGCGGGGCTGCAAGGAAAAAGAATACAACATAAGCCGAAATTAATTTCCCCAATCACAGCTGACGCATTCCCATCTTAATGAATTGAACAGTGACAGACGCAGGGGAAAGGTGACTCGACAAGCATCTACAAGGACTTCTCGAAGGGGCCTTTGCAATTGTGCGGGTATATATGTGGGTGTGTGTAAATCTGTCTTCCTCTTGTGTAAAGCAACAGAGCTTGACAGCAAGAAGGTGAAAGATATACTAGAACATCACTACAAGCCTCATGCAGCCTTATGTCCACATACACAAATGTAGCAACTCTCACAAGATACGAGAGATAGCACTCACCTGCCCGTGACTGATGAAACCATGTTTGTGTGCAATCTTCTCAGCCTCCTCGGCTCCCCCTTCAATGTGGACAGCCCACGTGTTGGTGTAAATGCCTTGGCCTGTAATCAAGCGTGTCTCAGCAGCCAGGAGGACCAGGTACGCCCCCAGAAACAGCAGCAGGGTCCAGCGGCCCTCCATGAACAGGAGTGCTTCGTCTCCAAGCCTTCTGGTGATGAAGTTTGTTTTCTAATGCATCTGTGGGCTGCACTGTGAATTCAGCACTTTAATGACCTGGAGAAGATAAGACAGGGTGTCAGGAAAGAAATACTAGTGCACCAAGTGGCTCATCGTTTTCTATAAAGCTCAGGTTATCTAAACATAACTGTTCTGTCAAAAAAACATTCTCAGAGGTACCGTGGCGAGTCATAAATTTTCATAAAGGTGACTTGAGTGCTATTGATGGCATTACACCAAGGGAAACTGGGATACAAACAACATTTTGTAGGACAAGGAGAAAGCTGTGTTTCACTTGTACCCACTTGCTACATGCTTGTATCTAGAGCAAGTTCACAAAAAAGGACATAAAATCTCCCACTGATGTTGCTTATCTTAAAGGAAAACTCCACTATTTTTGAAAATAGGCTCATTTTCCAACTCCCCTAGAGTTAAACAGTTGAGTTTTACCATTTTCGAATCCATTCATCCGATCTCTGGGTCTGGCGGTAGCACTTTTAGCTTAGCATAGATCATTGAATCTGATTAGACCGTTAGCATCTCGCTCAAAAATGACCAAAGAGTTTCTATATTTTTCCTATTTAAATCTTGACTCTTCTGTAGTTACATCGTGCACTTAGACCGACAGAAAATGAAAAGTTGCGATTTTCTAGGCCGATATGGCTAGGAACTAGTGATGCGCGGATGGCGTTTTTATCCGCGGGCGCTGCGGATAATCCGCGGATCGGGTGGGTCAGGTAATAAAAAAATGCATTCTGATTATTTGCGGGTGGGTTGCGGGTGGATAAAATAAATCATTAATGATGCAAGTATTAACTACATTTTCTAAATTATGAACGTGTTTTAAATAGGCTCCAGACATTTAATAAACTGTAAATTAACATTAAAAGTTATTCAACAAAACATTATTTAGTCAAGAGCAGTAAGGGTCTTTTGTTGTTTGAATAACATTAATAAAAGACGGCACAGCTTTATTAGGCTGCTGTCACTAGGGATGCGCCGATCTGATATTCATATCGGGTATCGGCTCCGATAGTGCCATTTTTCTCGGATCGGGAATCGGTCAGAGAGAGCTGATCCAAATCCGAGATTTTTTTTTTTTCTTCTCTCCAATTGTTCGAATGTGTTACTTCTGAAGCCATACGATAGCTTAATGTGAGCTACATGTGAATATTTAAGTCCTTACATTAAAGTTCACACAAACTCTTTTCTCCACTGTGGCTGTCAGTCATTCATTCAGCCTTTAAACTCTGGTCGCGTTCGGTTACAGCAGTCAGCTTGGTAAAGCTCTCTCCAAGATCATTCTGTGCTCCCATTATACTTGATTTGTAAATACATGTCTATGATTTTGCAAAAAGGACTTTATCTTCTTGCAGGAGTTTAATGTTGTTTTGTTACTTGCTACCGGGTGTCTGTGGTGTAGAAAAGACTATAAATAGTTTTTAACGTGCACAGTAACTGAAATTTAAAACTGTTAAAAAAAGGCTCAATAACTGTTGCACAGATATAATACACTACACATCAATTTCTCTTCCCTTTGTGCTTTGCACTTTTTAACACGAAGTGCTTACAATGTGCGCACTAAATGATGTCTAATATTAGCCAATGGCTAATCAATTCTCAGATTTTACTCGCCAGTGTGTGAGTTGGAAGCTGCGTATATGATTAGCACATATATTTTCACTCACAGAACACTCTGACTGAGCACTTCAGAGTTTCACTCTCCGTCAAGCGATCTGTGATGTTTTTCATATACTTTGTTGTATTTTCCTGTAAAAATAACAGAGTTCCTTTGGAATACTTCAGCTTTTAAGAACTGCCGGGTTTTCCTGTAGTGGGCAGAACTAATGCACAAACAACAATCTCATTGGCTGGTGCTCACCTATTATGTAGAATTCATATAATAATAATAATAATAATAATAATACTAATAATAATATCTTATCAGTATTATTGTTGGTTTTTTTACAGGAACACTGAATGACCAAAAAAAGCACCAGCACCAGTCCTAAGTTCATGGTTACCAAGTTTTAATTTAAATTACTAAACTTATATCATTAAATAATACTTGATTATCATATTATAATGCTTGACTGACTGATATTAAGAGTGTACTTTCAGATATTTAAAAAGCTGTACCATTTTACAAACATTACATGTTTGTAAAATGGCATAACTTTATATACAGTATATATATATATTATAGTATAGTATTTCAGTCTGGCGAGTAAACAAAAAAATATACTAGCCGATGGCGATTCAATTGCCAAGGTGTCCGTTGAGGGTTGACTGTATAAAAACAGTTCGTGCTGCACTGTATTTTTTGTCTTATCGTATCTATCTTATGTTGTTGCCTTATTAAAAAATATGCTATACATTTAAAATAAATGTATTTTAATTTTATAGTATAAACGTATATATAAATACATTCATGAATGTTTTTAATGAATGGATTTTATAATAATACAACTAGCAATGTGTAACATTTTACCATATTTAGTGCAACACTTTTATTTGTTCCACACAAAATATTGTTTTTTCACTAAATGTTTGGATTTCTAAAATTATTGTGCACTGATTTTTCTAGAATAACTTTTGCTGCCGAATTATCCACTAACCTAGTTTATAATTTTTTGTCATAGATTATAAATATACATAGGCCTATATTTTTTTATATTTGTTTATTTTAATTTTTTTTAATGAAGAAGTCTGTATCTATTAGATTGTGAAAGAATCATTATCAGTTCCACACACAGAGATATATAAATTCGACATTTAATTAAATGAGGGAAAAAAAACTTCACTGTATCGGATCGGTATCTGTATCAGCCAATACTGAATCCTAGGTATCGGAATCTGTATCGGAGGCAAAAAAGGCGGATCGGAGCATCCCTAGCTGTCACAAGACCTATTTCACGGATCCAATACTGATACCCATGCGTTTTATTTTGCAACTGTTTACATTAACTTAAGACAAAACCGACAGTACTTTCTCAATTTGGTACTCTCAGTAAGCGCTTTGGATGTGACTGTGAGCGCACGCGCCTCTATATATATATATATATATATATATATATATATTAGGGCTGCACTATTATTAAAAAAAATCATAATTGTCAATTATTTCCTTGAAATTGTAATTGTGATTAATTACAATTATCACAATTTATATTGAATGATGTTTATACCATTGTTTGATGCAACTGCATGCTGTATTTTTATATGAAAATAAACAAGCTGAAAAGACTAACTGAAAAACCTTTAGTGCTTTTCTATAGTATTAAGTCTCAAATGTCAACTATACATCGGATTGGTTTCTTCTTTAAATTATAAAAAAGTAAAAATATAAATGGTATTATAGTGTTATACTAAAACTAAAATTAAAACAATGGAAAAACTTAAGCGTGCAGAATAACATAAGTGGACTTTGAACGATTAATTGCCGCTTTGAACGATTATGTAATTGTGGCATCCATAATTGTAATCGCGATTAGAAATTCGATTAATTGTGCAGCCCTATATAAATATACACACACAACAAGTCACATGGATTACTTTTATAATGCGCTTGAATCCTGTTTCTACCAAAAGATCATTTTGGGGACAGCAGTCATGGTCAGGGGAAAACAGAAGGTGTTTTACACAAGGTTTGACACCATATACATTGGGATGATGACCATGTGGCTTGAGCATTGCACCATCCATCAGAGAAGCTCTCTACCACGGCAAGAGGGAGTCCCATGAGAGTTAGGCAGCTCCTTAGAGACAGCTCAGTTCTTGCTGACTGTGAAAGTAAGCTCAAAGCTTGGCTCAGGGCTTGATATATAACCCCCGACGCCCTCTACAACAAAACAGAGCATGAACAATAAAGCCTGGCGTGTGCTTTCGAAGACAGCAAGCATGCAAATTCATAGTATTTCCTTCTAAAGCGAAGGCGTGATGCCAGGGTCTAGGAAAAGCGTTAAAATTATAGCACCAACCTGCACAATGTCTGTTAAAGCAAGGTTTAAAAACAACCAAACTATTCCACAGAGTATGATGGCTACAAGGCAGAGTTTAGCATTTAAATAGCAGCTCCTGGTAGGAAGAAGTGAGTATCTTGATAAAAGGCCTGCTGAAGAAACAAACAAATCGTCACGTCTAAAATCTGCATTACAGAGCTCATTAAGGGCTGGCACAGTGCAGTGAGCTGGAGAGGAAAGAGGAGAAAACCATGTGTGTCTTACTGATGGAACCTGCGAATGTCACACCTCCGCAAGCACAGAAAATGAGAGAGACAGTGAGGAAGAGAGATACTGTTCCCATACGTCTCACTGTAACTGCAAAAGCAACGCATGATGTCGTATCTAAACCTAATCGATAGTTTAAAGCAAAGAATAGATTTGATTAACCTCCTTTTAAGAAGATTCAGTCAATTAACAGCTAAGACAAGTTTACAAGACAAGTAATGGAAAAGAGGTCAGCTCTCAGAAAATTATTTGCCTCCTCTTAGCCTTTTTCAGCATTGTTAAATAACTGCCATTCAGGTTAACCGTCCCCTGTATTCAATCTTTGCTTGTCTCGACAAGACTAATTTAATAATGCAGCCACTTGTGAAAGGTTATTCTAATGGATAAATGTAGGTGGTAATGAAAGATTCACCTTTAGAGCACGACACATGTAAGATGTGACAGAAAGGCCGTTGATTTCAAGTCAACTACTGTTCTGTTTGATGCAACTGCATGCTGTATTTTTATATGAAAATAAACAAGCTGAAAAGACTAACTGAAAAACCTTTAGTGCTTTTCTATAGTATTAAGTCTCAAATGTCAAATATACATCGGATTGGTTTCTTCTTTAAATGATAAAAAAAAAGTAGAAATATGAATGGTATTATAATGTTATACTAAAACTAAAACAATGGAAAACCCCTTAAGATAACATGTAGAAAGAAAAAAACGCATCTTAAGCGTGCAGAATAACATAAGTGGACTTTGAACGATTAATTGCCGCTTTGAACGATTATGTAATTGTGGCATCCATAATTGTAATCGCGATTAGAAATTCGATTAATTGTGCAGCCCTATATAAATATACACACACAACAAGTCACATGGATTACTTTTATAATGCGCTTGAATCCTGTTTCTACCAAAAGATCATTTTGGGGACAGCAGTCATGGTCAGGGGAAAACAGAAGGTGTTTTACACAAGGTTTGACACCATATACATTGGGATGATGACCATGTGGCTTGAGCATTGCACCATCCATCAGAGAAGCTCTCTACCACGGCAAGAGGGAGTCCCATGAGAGTTAGGCAGCTCCTTAGAGACAGCTCAGTTCTTGCTGACTGTATAAGTAAGCTCAAAGCTTGGCTCAGGGCTTGGTATATAACCCCCGACGGCCTCTACAACAAAACAGAGCATGAACAATAAAGCCTGGCGTGTGCTTTCGAAGACAGCAAGCATGCAAATTCATAGTATTTCCTTCTAAAGCGAAGGCGTGATGCCAGGGTCTAGGAAAAGCGTTAAAATTATAGCACCAACCTGCACAATGTCTGTTAAAGCAAGGTTTAAAAACAACCAAACTATTCCACAGAGTATGATGGCTACAAGGCAGAGTTTAGCATTTAAATAGCAGCTCCTGGTAGGAAGAAGTGAGTATCTTGATAAAAGGCCTGCTGAAGAAACAAACAAATCGTCACGTCTAAAATCTGCATTACAGAGCTCATTAAGGGCTGGCACAGTGCAGTGAGCTGGAGAGGAAAGAGGAGAAAACCATGTGTGTCTTACTGATGGAACCTGCGAATGTCACACCTCCGCAAGCACAGAAAATGAGAGAGACAGTGAGGAAGAGAGATACTGTTCCCATACGTCTCACTGTAACTGCAAAAGCAACGCATGATGTCGTATCTAAACCTAATCGATAGTTTAAAGCAAAGAATAGATTTGATTAACCTCCTTTTAAGAAGATTCAGTCAATTAACAGCTAAGACAAGTTTACAAGACAAGTAATGGAAAAGAGGTCAGCTCTCAGAAAATTATTTGCCTCCTCTTAGCCTTTTTCAGCATTGTTAAATAACTGCCATTCAGGTTAACCGTCCCCTGTATTCAATCTTTGCTTGTCTCGACAAGACTAATTTAATAATGCAGCCACTTGTGAAAGGTTATTCTAATGGATAAATGTAGGTGGTAATGAAAGATTCACCTTTAGAGCACGACACATGTAAGATGTGACAGAAAGGCCGTTGATTTCAAGTCAACTACTGTTCTGAGATAGAAACAGGGCTTGTGGCTTATCTTTTCTCATCTTTATTAGGTCTGACAAGGTCGTTGTGCTGCTTTGCGTATTGGAAACAAGTAGACCACTTTTTTTTTCAGCTTACAAGCAGAACATGGAACCAGGCCAGAGGGAATTCTGGTAATTGTGTTGCAACCGCAACATTGACCAGAAATGATCAAAATAATTGCTTATCAACAGCTTTCCTAGAACCGAACAATTACAGAGCGCATATCTAGTAAATCACAAATTCCCAATGGTTCAGGAACAGGTCACGAAGCCAAAATGACATTCAAATGAATGTGAAGTCAATCACATAGAACTTCAGGATCTTTTTGGAGGGCGGCCATTAATCTTCATTCAACACTTCACAAATGACTTATTTTTCATATTTAAAGACTCTGAGCACCCGTTAAGGCCTGAATCAAATGGAAAGAAAGATTATCTATCTGTCTCCGAGGATCTGACAGATTGCATGCTTGCGAGAGGCGATGTCCCATACATGCTACTGTATGCTGGCGGGTCAAATTTTTATAGTGTGTTCTCTAGGGAAGAAAGAACAGTAATTACTATGCCTTAATAACTCCTCATCAAACACAACTACAACTACTAAAGCTTTAATGATCCATGATGGCTCTGTAAGGCCAGTAACCGAAGTGCTTAGTCACTCATTAGACAGGGAGAGACAGCACACATATACACTGTTTATCTCTACCTCTTTTTCCCTCTCTCTCTCTCTTGTCAGGATCAGAACAGAAGATGACCACACTGCCTGTTCTTAAAAAACAACAACAACAAAAAACCTTTGGGTAACGTTAAGCCAGATTTCATAAGCAAACCTGCCAAAAGAACGAATGTTTCAAGACAAGTCAAAGGACACTTATAATGATATGATATAAATACAATGATTGATATTCTCTAAGGACCATCACACAGTCATCGTATGAACTACGTGAGACAAAGAGTATGACAACAGTGTCGTTATGCTCGCTTTGCATTCATTTACTGCACTGAACACTAAGAATTTTTATTTGGTTCACGCGAAACTCGCATGCACCGTAAATCATTCAGTTACGCTGAAAACACTGGGCGTGCAACACGATAATACATCTTTTGGAGGATTTGGAGTCCGTGTAGAAAATTTTAAATATTATGTGCTTTTTTCTTTCGTGGAAAACAAAAGGAGGCGTGCGTCGGAATAACAGCCTCCAGTTAACTTAACATTACCGTTTATTTATTTGAATGGAAAACAGGTGCAATGAAAGTGAACGGTGACCGAGACATTTCTATTTAGGTTTGGAACAACATTAGATTATTTTTGAGTTAAGTATCCCTTTTGGTCACCTTTTTGATATTACAAAATAATAATAATAATAATTATTATAAGGTTTCTTCAAACCAATGTGCGTAAAAGAAAAAAAAACGAAACAGTCACTTTTTGTCATCCGTAAAAATGAACGAAAACAAAAGTATACTGTCCAAATAAAAAAATATAACGTCAAAAACAAATTCTTCACAGCAAATTATATGAAACTGCTATCAGAAGTTAGACTAAAGCGTAAAAGCTTAATATGACATGAATACATTTAGTAAATAAAAACTTTATTTTCTTTGACTTCACCTCAGTTTTCCGTTCTAATTAAATTAAACAACGACAAACACACGAACTGTCATTTACCTCAGACATGAGACCGCTGACCCCTCCTCAAGCACGAACCGAGCTGTCATTTCGCTTTCCACAGCCTCGGAATCCGGTAACGGGCTCACATTTCAGACTAACTACAGCTCCGAAATGAACTCCGTTCTCGACGGAAATTTAAAGCACATCCGCCGAGGAACCGTTACGGAGTATTCCCGCCGTTCCGCGAGACCCCGGTGAACTCAACTCGGCGCCACGCGACGAGAGCGCGCAGGACGATGAAACTTTCAATAGCGCGCGCGTCTTCCTGTAGTCCTTTATTTTAATTATTTATTAATCTTGCGTCTGCCAGTCTACATGGTATACATAAAATCGAACTGTTTGTAAAATAAAATTAAAATCTCTGTGGTGTCACGTGCCATCGGTAGCGTCTTCTTTATTGTTCTATAGACATAACGGGCTCCGTAATACATCCGTACACAAATCCCCGATCATCACAAATGGCCTACAATTCCCAGGAAGTACGTCATGGCATGAGCCTATTTGGGGTCTGCGATTCGCGGGCTCCATCTGCAGGATTCTGACCAGACACACTGTTCATAATTAAAATGTATTTTAATTTTTTAAAATACAGTACCAGTAGTAAATGCATATCTTGCAATCTTAAAGAAACAGTTTACCCAGAAATGGATATTCTGACTAATGTTGCAGGACTGTTAACGTTAGGAGCTGTTCATTTTCATCACATATGCACACGATGAAGGTGAATGGTGACTAGTTATAAACAAGGATAAATAAATGATGACAGAATTGCTGTGAATGAATGAGATTACAGTTGGATCCTTGTCAGTGTGGAGAGCCAAATGTAATCAGCATAATGTTTGCTTTGAAAGTCATATATTAGATTTACAGTTTTGTCAATGGTTTTACTCCGGCAGCAGCAGCATGCATGCAGGTCACGAAAGAAAACAGAATTTCTTTCAAGGATTCATCTTCACTGAACCCAGCTCCTGCTAAGCTGATTTTGTTTGTCCTTCCATTATTATTTTTTTTTATTGCCAAAGTATCGCAAAAAAAGAAAAAGAAAAGTAAAATAGAATAAAAAAATATATAATAATAATAATAAAGCATAAAGGCAGCACAGGTGTACGTCTTAAGCCGGCAGCTCCAACAAAAAACAAGGAATGCTTTATTTGCATCACACTTTCATTCTTGTTTAGGATTGAAAGGAAGGATTTAAGGAGGAATCCATTCTTTAAATTATAAATTATTTATACACCATGGTGGTATTTGTTTTATTGCCTTTCAGTTATGCTGATTGTAATAGAAATAGTTAGTAATAGAAATATTATCATGAGAATCACCATAAAAAAACGCATCGACTTACCTAACAACGAGCAATACATTTGTTGCAACATTTATTAATCTTTGTTGAGGTTCATTAATTAAAATACAACTGATATTTGTTTGCTCATGTCCAAATAATGTAAACAGACATAACTTTTATTATTGCATTCAATAAAGTTTTTGTAAATGTTGAAATTAACATTAACTGAGATGAATAAATGCTTTAGAAGTATTTTTTACTATTGTTAATTAATGTTGACTAATGTTCAGTAGTTAACTAATGTTAATAACTTGAACCTTAATGAAATGCAATTAAACATCAGACACACTAAAGTCATGAAAAAACATATACATACATATACACACACACACACACACACACATATATATATATATATATATACATATACATATATATACACACACATATACTGTATATATGAAGAATTTAATCAAAACACAAAAAGAAAGACATGCAATGCATTACCAGTGTACTCTCCTGGGCTGTTGTGATCCTCAACCAGTTTATGGCCTAAAACCTTCTGGCTTAAACGGTTTACGTAGTGCTGCAGTGGACTGCCTTCATCAACAGCAACAGATCGGGCCTCGTTCCACTGCACTACTCCTTCTAGCAGGTAAAGATGGAAGTGCAAGTCATTTGTACTTGTACCTAAAAGAAGAGAAAAAGAGCAGGTAAAAAATAATTTCAATCTACATTGACATTTCACAAATATAACTCATTATTTATGGCTCTTACAAACCTGAAATGAAGTGATTCAGATGCTGATGGAATGATTCGAGGGATCCTACGCCACGTGCACAGTGATACAGGGGCAGAATGAGTCCTCCTCTGGTCACCTCTCCAATCTTTCTGTTATATATATATATACACACACATATATATATATATACACACACATATATATATATACACACACATATGTTAATTTGTTTGTTATCAAATAACATTCACAAATATTAGTCTGCCTTAAGTAGAAGTAAATAAGTAAATAAATATATTGCAATGCTTCAAACATATTAGGGTAAACACTAGATGGCGCGCCTATGCAACAAATGAGTCTCTTGCCTCAACTTTCCTCTTTCTGCGCATGCGCAGCGCCGTTCTTTATTGTCACGGTCCAAATTTATCCCGGAATAAGGGCAGCACGCATGTGCCGTGAACCCGGATGTATCAGGACTTGTTTGAATAAAGAACAAAAGCAACGGGCTGAAAATGCATGATCGAGGCTATTATTAGAAAGTAAAGGAATCTGGTTCCGGTCCGGATAAAGTACCCGCGCTCGTTTTAGATGATTGATTACAGTTACTCACCCGTTGGAGTTTTAATATTTTAATGCATTTGCTTTTTAGTCATATAAACGCGGTACCAGACCAATGCGTGAACATACTTGCAGCAGTCTATAAATATAACATTGTAGCTTTATTTGTAGTGCAATGCATTTGATTCACGTCTACGGTAAAAAGTATGAACGTGGCAGCAACTGGTCCGAACCAGAGGTGCTGGAGCTGCTGCAGATCTGGTCGGACGTGCCCGTCCAAACCGAGCTAGTGACCTGCCTCAGAAACCAGCATGTGTTCAACCGAATCGCCAGCACTCTGCGGCAGAAGGGCATCAATCGGACCGGGGATCAATGCAGGGAGAAGATCAAAAAGTTGAAGCTGGAGTACAAGCAGAAGACTTTGAGATCCGCGAGGTATTACGAGCTGATGGAAAGGGCGCAGAGCAACCGATCCGCCGCAACCTCCGGTTCGACTTTGCCTTTATGGGGCGGTACGGTGACGAACCAGGCAACCGGACTGCAGGGGTCAGAGGCGCCGGGTCACCCGCCCAGAGTAGGTGAAATGCTGGAGATCAAGACGGAGGTGATGAGCTCTGATGATGAAGCGGCGGGCCCGCCTGAGATGATCTATGAGTTCGGACCTGTTGATGAGGATGATGAAGGCGCTGCTGAACACAAACATGCGGGTCCAAACACAGAGGAGATCACTGAGATGGACGGAGAGCAGGGAAACACACATGTCATCTGTTCCCCATCAGGTATCATAAACGGTCTGTTGATGGATGGATGGATGGATGGATGAACAGATAGACAGATATGGATGTGTAAACAAATACAGATACATACTTCAGTGATTACAGTGCAACAGAAAGCAAACATCCGCCTGAGATGATCTATGAGTTCGGACCTGTTGATGAGGATGATGAAGGCGCTGCTGAACACAAACATGCGGGTCCAAACACAGAGGAGATCACTGAGATGGACGGAGAGCAGGGAAACACACATGTCATCTGTTCCCCATCAGGTATCATAAACGGTCTGTTGATGGATGGATGGATGGATGGATGGATGAACAGATAGACAGATATGGATGTGTAAACAAATACAGATACATACTTCAGTGATTACAGTGCAACAGAAAGCAAACATCATCTGAATGATGTACTACACAATATTAAACACCGATGTTCCACTATACAGACATTTGTTGCATAGATAGATAGATAGATAGATAGATAGATAAATGTTTATATATGCATATTTCTCAATAATTGAGATTTTTGGGAGGCAAGTAGTTCAGATTTTTCCTCACCCTGTCAGCTTTTCACTGGTCCCACCACAATTTTATTAAAATAAATTTTTAACATTTTATATTTTTTGTCCTTTAAGTTTTCTTTATATGAGCAGAAACAGACTATTGTTTTTAATTTGCAATAACACATGGAATTTATACAGCTATTCACTACAGCTATAAATTCATAAACAATTTTTTTCTTTTTGGAAAATAATGGCATGCAATGTAATATTATACATTATAAATTGATTAGAATTATTCAACTCATTCTAACTAATTATTGTCACCGGTTATTCTTGCAATTTTGACTATTACTAATTTGACAAAATTCATTATCTGTGTTAGCCAAGTAGAACATGTTACCTTGGTCACATATTTAAATCAGCGTAATATCAATAACAGTATACAATTTAAAAGCATAAAAATAAATGTTTATGTTTGAATGATATAAAAAACATCTGGCTTGACTTCAGTAAACTACAAAGAAACAGTAACAAAACACCATCTGCTTAACACAGTACACAGTTGTTCAAAAGTTGGGTTGGTAAGAATTTTTAAAAATGTTTTTGAAAGACTTTTATTATTTATTTATTGTTTGCTCAGCAAGGATGCATTTATTTGATCACAAATACAGTAATATCAGTAATATTATGAAATACTTTTACAATTTATAATAACTATTTCTATTTTAATGTACATTTGAAAATGTAATTTATTCCTGTGATGGAAAACATAATTTTCACCATCATTACTCCAGTCTTGAGTGTCACATGATCCTTCAAAAATCATTCTAATATCCTGATTTGATGCTCAAGACACAATGTTGAAAACATCTGCTTAATATATTTGTGGAAACCATTATACAGTTTGTTCAGAATATTACAAAATTCAAAAGTACAGCATTTATTTGAAATAGAAGATTTCTGCAACATTATAACTTTTTTACTGTCACTATTGATCACTTTAATGCATCCTTGCGGAATAAAAGTATTAATTTCCTTAAAAAAAAAAAAAATCTTACAGACCACAAATTTTTGAATGGTAGTATATACATTTATGCATTTGGCTGGCATGTTTATTATTTATTTTTTGTGCATTTCATTAGCATGTGCATGAAACTATTTCATTGCAACAATGTGCAAAAAAAAAAAAGCATTGCATGGATGTAACATCAAGAAAAAGTTGAACTACTGTATGAGCCTGACCTACCAGTTTTAGCTGATATTATCCATATTTATTTAGAGGGTCTGTGCAGTTTGTGCACAGTGTATAGGCATTATTGCAGTATCTATGCCAAACCCTTTGTTGTGTCTCTGCTGTTGGCAGTGATTTGCCAGCCAGTGCCTTACTTTTAGCACCGCAGATGTTCTTTACAGTACTGCCATGCTATCACACCAACTGTCGCTTTAATAAAATTGAGATCATTGTTTAGTTAATTTTTAATTACGTTTTTATTTGGTCTTTTTTCTCTGATTGACTGATTTAATGCTTCATTTTTGATGATATCACACCACAGATTGCAGTGATCAGAACATGACTGGCTCCTCCGGTGCAGGAG